AACATTGATGAAATATCTAGTGTCTTTGTAGATAATGATAATTCTGGAGTTTCTGATACTGTTGAAAGTTCTGATAATGAAGTGATATCCAGTGTCCTCATTGAGATTGAAGACTCGAAAATTTCTGACACTGAAATGTCTAGTGTCTTCGTAGATAATGATAATTCTGGTGTTTCTGACACTGTTAAAATTCTGACAATGAGGAGATATCTAGTGTCTTCATTGAGATTGAAGATTCGAATATTCCTGACACTGTGTCTTTGTTAAGAACGATAATTCTAAAGTTAAAATTCTGGCAATCTTGGAATATCTAGCGCACTAATTGATACTGGAGATTTGGAAATTTCTGACAATAAAATATCTAGTGTCATTGTTGAACAGGCTTGTGAGTTAGAGAAGGTATTGGGTTACAGATAGAATACTTCTCAGGACAACATACAAGTTGCTAGTAATTCTATTGATGAAAAATGCCAAACACAAGAAGAAACATCTTTATCTCAAATTTCGGGTCTTTTATCTTTATATTTATCTATTACCGTTAAAAGGGAGTGAGTTATGGTATCAGAAAATGGATTGGAACTCTGACATCTCTGCTAAAAACCAGAATGCCTGGTCTAGTTTATCCAAAGATTTAATTCAGTTTGATTTATTAAAATTTCCCAGATGTTCAATTGATGCAACACATCCTGCAGACTTGTACATATTTTGCGATGTCTACAGAAAGTTTATGAGTTTGTGGCTTATGTCGATGTAAATGGAAAATCTACTTTAGTTTTTACTAAGGCAAAGGAAATCCCTTTAAAATCCAAAACCTCACCCACTTTTGCTGCATTTTTAGGAATCAAATGTTTGGGAAATATTTTGGAGATACTTTCAAACATAGCTTTCAGATAGTATTATTTTGGTTACTTTCTGAAGGTATTAAAACCAAGAATCAATTTGTTAAAACAGACTAAAGGTTATTAGTAAAGGTTATTAGTAAAGGTTATTAGTAAAATAATGAAGGAATCAGTGGTTAAATAACATGTCTTAAATTTATTTATCAGCTAACAATAAAACAGATGTGTAAAAAAATTGTTTCAAGAAATATGTTCATATGAAAAACTTTCCAATGAATTAATATACCCTTTGTGTATAAAATTTTCTATAAATATGTTCCTATAAAAAAACTTCCAATGAATTAATATACCATTTGTGTATAAAATTTTCTATAAATCTGTCCCTATAAAGAAAAGAAAAAAGTGCAATAAATGAATGTGATTTTGCGTAAAAAATAAAAAAGAAGTTTAATAAATCTGTTCCTATAAAAAAAAAAAAACTTGTTATAAATTATATTTGTTTATTACACCTTCACTTGAGGGGTGGGTATAAAAATTTTATTTTATTATTTTTAAAAATATTATAATCATATAAATGTATAATTGTTTAAGTAGGTTTTTACATTCATTTTTTTTTTTTTTTGAGAGAAGTGTATTTTTATGAAGGCCAGACGTTTTGTGTTTTACTATTCCTACTAGACTAAGTTTTTTTTTGTGTCTGACACAAGAACTTGGATTTGGTAGGGAATAAAATTTTTATAAAGTTTCCGGAACATATTGAAAGTAAATGATAAAAAATAATAAGTGTTTTTAAATGTTTTTTTTTTCTTTTTAGTTTATAAATTTCAATAAATTTACAAGACAATTTGATAACTCAGTGTTCTTTAACAGTTTCCACTTTCACTTGTTCAATGTTTTGAAAAAAAAAATGTTCTTTAAACGTGAACATTTTCAGAATGTACTTTTTTACACTAAAATAAAAGGAACATTTTGAAATTGCAATTTATAGGGGTTTTATACCATTTTACTGGTTCGGTCCGCTCGATATCAAATTGGGTTGATATTTGACCGGTGAACTAAAATCAGTTTGACTCTCCTGGCCTAGGAAAATTCTGAAATCAATCTTTCTTTTGCATACATAAATGTTATTGAGTACGCGGATTTCTCCCTTAGCAACGCCCTCTTACTCACAAGCATGCATTACATACATAGAAATAACACACAAACCTTATACTCTTAACTTTATGCCCGTTCACTGAGCACATGCGTCAAGAATGCGAAAACTTTGCATTTTCCAGCTTTTTTCGTAACATGGGCTTGACTGTTATATATATATATATATATATATATATATATATATATATATATATATATATATATACATGTATATATATATGTGTGTGTGTGTGTGTGTGTGTGTGTGTGTAAGTGTGTTGTTACGAAATGGTACCATATTGGCGTCCAAAGTCCGCTAAAGTAGGTCTTCATTCTCGGCGCTCACTCAGGTGCTCCAAATGATGCAATGAGACCAACGATAAATAAACACAAGACGAGGCTATTCAATTTAATAAAACATTTATTTACAACGAATATAAATAATTAACAAAAAAAATAAATGTTCAACTCTTATGGGGGAGGGGTTGATACATATTATCCAATGATAACAAATTCAAATCAATTTA